AATGAGCTGGTACAACTTCATTATCTCATATATGCGCAATGGCTTTAGGAATTCATACAAATTTTTGAGCATAAAACCATCTAACCAAGTAAAATCGTGTGGCAGGGGAGAACATAGCTGGAGAAGTAGAAGCAAAACCATAATCCCAAGTTCTCGGATATGTTCAAATGCCAAGCTTTCGGCCCCTATTGATAACCAAAACAAAGTTCTCAAATGTGTCCAGGGAACAATGAATGAGAAATAAGCAACTAACATAAAATAATTTCATTCAATTCTACATAACAATGATCACAAGCAAGTAAGAAAAAACTTGCATTACAGTCAACTTATAACATGATCATTAGCAAATCAAAGAAAACCAACCTCTATTCCTGATGTGCAATAAATGATGTCATTTTGTATGTACTTAACTCCCGAAAATCTAATGAACCAAGCTCATACCTATGTTTCCTATAAACAGAAATTATAGCATGCCATTTTGTATGTTGATTGCAGCCTATAAACATCAGCACATAAACTTGAAAAACAGGAAGCAATACCAGCTCTAAAGCTCTGATGCTATAACCATTGCCCAATACTATAACCATTAATGCTATAATTATTGCCCAATACTATAAACAGGAATTAATTGCAACCCATAAACTATAGATAAGAGCATGGATTCCTCTCATAGATAGGTTCAAAGCCCAACAAAAATTGAAACAAAATTCGAGAGTTAGCTTTAAGGAAATAGAAAAAATCGACTCCAAAAATTATGGAGCAATCAAAATGCATTCTCCACAATTTTCTTCACGCATACCAAACATGGATTCCTCTCATAGAAACTTCTAAAGCCCAACAAAATTCAGGGGTTAGCTTTAAGGTAACAGAAAAAATTGAAACCAAATTTCTGGAGCAATCAAAATGCATTCTCCACACTTTTCTTCAGGCCTAGCAAAATGATGAAAGGAAATTGTAAAACCATAAAGATCCATTCGGCGACCTTCAAATTGAGAAGGAAGAAGATGAAAGCCCTTGCTCTTCCGTCAAGGAAGAAAAAAAATAAAGAACAACGAGGTTCGACTTTTCACTCCCATACCTTACGAATCAAAAAGAGAAATCGAAAGGAACACAATCCGATCTCCTCTAGGGTGAAGAAATTTGACTGCAGGCCACAAACCAGGGAGGGAGAGCACAAGGGGTATCTAGGGCAAAGATGATAGCCGAACACGGGACGCGGGTCTTGACTCGCGTCAAAGCCCTTCAGAAATTCTTCGAAGCGGGATGCAGTGCAGCATGAATAATCAGACCGAACGGTCTCCCAAACACTGCGGCGACATTTTGAAAATGCCGCCACACCTAATAAGCTGCCCCAAATGGGTCCTAAGTGATTGATTAGATGCGTAAAATGGAGGCTAGGAAAGTTCATGTGTACGAAGATTATGATGTGAACAAAAAGTTAGGAGATGTGCTCTTGGATTTAAATTTATTTCTTGGGCACTACAAAAATGTTACTAACAAGACTAAAAAGGGACACCAATGAGTGAGAGATATATAGAATCTTGATAAAGAATTAGATATTTTATTAGATTAACAAAAGTACAAGAATATTTAAGTATAAATAACTTGATGTGTCAGACAATTCCCTTGCCCCTTATTTCTAAGTCCAATTCATGATTTATTGCTACAAAAAAATTTAAGCAAATATAGAAAAAAAACAAGCAATGGCATTTGCATGTTATAAGTGTTTGTGTGACAATTAGCCAAATAATACATGGAAATATGCATTATTATTTGGCTAAAATCTTAGCTTTGATAAAGTTGTTTGACTTGCTTGGTCAAAGGCTAGTTAACGGAGGAGGTTTGTCTTTTGATGAGAAAAAGTACTAAAATTTACTATTACTATTACTAAAATTTACTATTAAGGTTTTGGTGAAATTTTAAGAGATTTATGAGGGAATGGTGGTTAAGGTACAAGGACTAGTTTGGATTAGGCTAGTTTGGGCTAAGTAGTTTAAGATTGGGTAAATGACAATAAATGATTATTGTTGGTTATCTTAGAATGTGTACTTATGATATTCAGTAATTGAAGGTTTTGGATGAGTTTGCAATGGTTTTTATTGGTAGAGAGCTAGATTAGACCTTAATATGCTCTTGCTTTACCTACTCCTAAATTCTTCACCACTCTTCATCAACGTCGTAATTTTCTTACAATATCAACAAACCAACAACCAAAGCCTTACAACCATTCCAAACCCATTTTCATAACTTATAAGGAAAAACAAATAAAAATACATAATCTCACCAAAGAAATGACAACACTTGAAGCCATCAAGCATAAAAAAAACAAGAGAGAAAATTCTCATTGAAATTTTTCATTGAAAACTCATAAAAAAAATTGCATATCAGCCCTATTTATGGATATTACAATGACAAAAGTTTATAAAAAGAGAAAGAAATTGAAGGGTGGCAGTTGGCCATTAATAGAGGGATGTGCTAACCACCTTCGAAATTTATTATTTTCTTAAGACCAGCCATGAAAGCCTCAAAATTTGAAAATTCAAACATTATAGAAATTTAAATTGAAATATTAATGATAAAAAATAAATTAAAGTATTTCTTCTTGATAGGGCTTTTGTGATTGGCCTTGAATGAGCTCTTAATTGGGCACTTTCTTGGGCTCTTGCAAGTGGGCTTTGGCTTCATTTAGATAGTGACTAGCTATTAAACTTAGATATGGTTGTAAGGGTCTTGGTGAGTTCAATACGGCTTTTATTTACATTGAGTTAGATTGGAAAAGTTATTGGGACTTCAAGCTAGACTAGGCGAGGTCATAATGAATCTAACAAGTTCTACCTAGACTAGACATATATGTGATGGGCTTCATAAGCTTATGTGGAGCTTGGCGAGTTCATATCAGGCCTTAGTCAATTATCATGTTAAATTAAACAAGTTTATGCAATCTTAATTGATTTGGATTAATCGACAAATTTAAATATTTGTTTGTATAGAATTAATGGCAAATGAAAGTACATTTAAATATTTCATTTCATTGATTCTATTGTACTTTTGAAATTTAACAAAAAAATTATAAGTGAATTAAGTTATACAACTATTCTCTCTCTCTCTCAAAAAAAAAAAAAAAAAACTAAAATTTTGGAGAATTTAATATCTTCGTATACTTCCATATTTAGAGTGACATTGGTCTGACTGGTCATACGCTTCAATATTAATTGAAGCTTACGTATATGAGCAAGACATATGTTTGTTTAAATTGTTGTATTTATCACAATGAATCTTTATCTTGGTTAACAATATCTTTAAGACTGTATTATTTGATAATGTTCAATCATTTCATCCTATATAATTATTTTGACAAACTGTTACTATTCTCATCACTAGAATTAAAGGGTTTGTTTGGAAACATATTTATGAGGTGTTATAAAAAATATCTTACAACACATCTTATCAAAGTTCTTAGGTCACGATCACAAGTTTGAACATCCTTTTAAGTTCTTATTGGTTCTCATCTCCTAAAGTTAACTCTTTTTCAAAAAGCACTTGACAAACTAATTTTATTAATATTAAAAAAAGTAAAAAAAAAAAAAACTATTTGATAAAATATGATATTTAGTTATCTTATACATAAAATTTACTCCTCCATCTATCTTGAGCTTCATTACTCATCAACAAGATGTCTAATATGTCATCATGCTCTTTTGGCACTAGAACAAGAAGCTCTTGTATGATTTACTTCTACCAATCCTTAGTGCCCTGACAACTTATCTGTTCATAATGAATCTCTCCAACCATATTCTTTCCCACTTTTATCTTCATAAAAGTTGCTTATTGTGTGTTGTACTTGTTAAGGTTAATTGAATCAACAGTTTAGAGGCTTCTTGAATTGTATTAGCTGATTTTGTTTTGTAGATATGCATGTATCATGGTATAATGCTTTACCAATAACATTTTTTTCCCTGTTTATTTTCACAGATTAAATATACAGTGAAATAATTCTTGTGTTTGGTTTTATATCAAACAATTGTTTGATTTTTGGATTCATTTGCAATGAAATTTGTGATGTGAATCAAAGTTGGATTTGCAAACTTAATGTAATGGCTGGGAATAAGAGTCGATAAAGGTTCATGCTGAAATTAATTTTAGTATTTATTGATTTCGTTTATTTTTGTTGCTTTCATTTGAAAGCAAAATTTAGAGAGAAATCTTGTTGGTGCAAAAGAAAAGTTGTCAAGACAAATTAATTATCTAATATTTATTAATTTTGGTTCAAGCGTTTTGTTCTCATGTTTGTATTTGAGTTAAATTTTGTTTGCTACTCCTTACTATTTGTAGTTTGATGAATAAAGAATCAAAATATTCTTCTAATTTACTTGTTTTTCTTTCATGCACTAAGATAAGTTTACAAACATACGTTTCTTATTGAAGGCTATGATTACATTTTGTGGACGATCAACAGTTTAAACACCATATGTTCTTCTCAAAGTAATAGAACTTCAAAGCACTAATAAAATTTTGACACCATGCATAACAGATTTATATAAAGAAGGACCTCAACAACATCCAATAATAAAAGTGTTTTTAAACAAGACATCCAATTGCTTGTGTTGGTTGTAAGTAAAAAGTGATATTTTAGGAGGGACAGAAGACCAAATTGCCTTCCAATATAAGTAAAAAGTGAATTTGAGGAGCAAAAAATCTGAATTTGATGGGGGCAATTGCCCCCCTTGGATTCTCCCAGGGTGCTCCCTTGGTCTTGATGAAAGCAATATACATGCATTGTATTTCAGTGTATCAACCACAAACATATTTTCTTAATTAGAAATGCACTTTCATTCACAAGCATTAATTTCTTACATTAAAATGTTATATTTGAGGCTACGATTTCGAAGTGAAAAAAGAGTCGAAGAAGCAAACTGACAAAAAGCAGAGCCTGTTTTGCACATAATTAATGCAAAATAGAAGCAAGAATTAATTCACACTCAAACTCTGAGTAATATATATAAAGGAATATAGAATCCAAATCAACTCATTTGAATGAATAGTTACATAGGAAAATGTATGTGTGTGTGTGTAATACAAGTAAATCTATAGACGAGAAAGAATGTATGTATGGTTCCTTCAATTGTGCCTCTCAATCTCCCTACTTTCTTTACACAACAATTCCAAAAATTCCAAGCAAAGCTGCTACATTTATAAAGAGAATCAATTGATTATGCAGAGGGCGAAGGAGCGAAATCATCGGCGAGCTCACTTGCGGCCGCCGCCGGACCGAAAGCAGCTCCCGAGCTGAGTATTTCCGCCATGGATCTGCGCGGGTTCGATCGACGGGCATGGCAGAGGTCTGGAAGGAAAACACCTGTATTCATAGCAGAAAACTAATAAGAACAACTTACAAAAATGTTATCAAATCAGTCTTTGGGTGATTTGAAGAAGATCCATTAGCTTACCTTCTGCTGCTGCAAGATTGAAGTAAAGATCAACAATATTGGGGCAGCTCTCATAGCAAGTGGACGAGCAGAGCTTGCCAGTGAATTGGGAATCGAGGAGGGCATCAGAAGAGATGCCTTTTGCAGTCCGATCGACGCCGCAAGCCCTGACACATTCATCACTCTCGATCCAATCAGACACTCTCTCCACCACCACCTCTGAAGCCCTGCACTGATATTTCGTCGCCTCGCCGCCTTCTTTCGTGCGATAGCTCTCGAGGAGGCATCTATGTCCGGTGGACGATATGGAGAAAGCGCAGAGATCTACGGGCAAGTCCTCGCAGATCACCTCGGCTGCACCAACAGCAATGGGTGTTAGCAATCATAGAAGATTGAATAGTCAGTTGGGTTATAGTGCTTTATAATTTGAGTAACTTACCATGGGAGGAAGGGAGGATGAGGGCGAGGGAGAGAAGAAGTGCTATGTGGATCAGGTGAGAAGCCATGTTTTTTGGTTAGCTGATTCTTCTTTCTTCTGCTTCTGCAAGTACTGGTGCTGCTGCTGCTTGATTTTGTGGTGGAGTTATAGGCTGGAGGAGATGGAGGGAAGCTTAAATAGAGGGAGGGAGAGTAGAGGAAGGAGGATGGAAAATGTCGCAACGCGTTTCTAAGTCACTTAACTCTGCCTTTCTAGTTGATTTTTAATCACGCGAGGTTAGATAACAAAATTAGTTTTTTCGATTAGACGCGTTCATATGAAATGAATGTCTCCCCGCGTTCTTGATGTACAGAGTAGAGTTCTATTCATATATATATATATATATTATGAAAGAGAGAAAATACAAAATACAGCCTCAGATCTTTGAAAAATTATTGCATACATAGATCGCATGCATCTCTGCATGACACCATCATGACCGTAAATCACAGTGATCTACGGTCATGATGCAATCAAAATTTTTTTGAAAAAAAAATAATAATTTAAAATGAGTCCCACTGAAATACATCCTGATCGTAGATTGCCGTGATCTACGGTCATGATATGACACCGCATGCATCTCTTCATGCGGTGTATGCATGCAATAATTTTTTTCTCTAGAACACTCGAACATACAACAATTCCGTACCCTCCTCTTGAGGGATTTAAATCTCGTAATTCAGAAACCTTCTGGCATAACTACTCAGGCACATGACATATTTTTTTCACAATCTCGGCTCCATACTTAAAACGGTCGAAACATTGGTGTGGCTAAGTCAAATTGCGGCGTGACCTAGTTACACTGCCTGCTAAGGTGCCCTGGCTAGTTTATCTACGTCGGTATGGTATAGGCACGTCACCTCTTTCCTGTTGTTTGACGCATCGGGAGTTCCTTCGATCTCTACTCATCAGCATAAGCACCCTTAATTTGAGCTTGAGCTTGATTAGTTAATCGAGCTTGAGCATGTTCAATATAAAATAGGGAAACTAGTTTTAACTTTTAGATAATATCACAATATAATGATAACTAAAAATAATAATTTGAAAATATATAATAAGAAACTACTTTATAAAAAATACAGAATATCTTTTTTTATTATTTAGATTGATTTAAAGAAGAAATCTTAAAATTTTATATTAATATTTTTGAGTGAACATGCTCACTAGCTTACGAGTCAAGTCGAAGCTAGCTTGAGCATGACTTGCTAGTCCATCAAGCGCACTTGACGAAGTGCCTTTATTGAGCTGAGCCCATGCCAACTCACGAGAGACTCACTTACACCTCTACACATAGAGAAAATATTTCATCTATACATTGCATATTCGGACGGCCAACAACTGGCAGTCAGGTCGCCATGCACGTCAACTGGCTGACGTTCGATGTGATTGCTGGTGGTTGAGGTCGGACGTGCGGACGTCTGGACGAAATATTTTTCCCTACACATAAGGCATAACTTTTGGGAAAGAGGAATTCTGAGATTTAGACTGATTCAAGGCAAATGCCTGATGATTACGCACTTAAGTCACGTGTCGCTTTAAATATTATTTAATTTGTAAGATTACTTTGTCAACAAGCAATTATTTTGAACCGGAATCGATTTGGACCGAGTCAGTTTGAACCCACATTAGAATTTCATGTTCAAAGGGCTTATTACGAGTTAACAAGAAGACGTGACCATATTTTTCTAGAAGGCCGCCGAAAGCTGTTGTGCAATATTAAAATTCATGCCTGAAGCATAAACTTTTTTAATAATAGCGCAAATTAATAACTAAATACCCTTTTGGGCAACTTATTTAGTGTTGTGCTGTTGCATCGGACGTGCTTGGGCAAACTATATTTTTGTAGCGTATGCATTTTCAAAATGCTGAAAATAACTTTTTCCCACCGCATATATCTAGGTGCGGTGACAGCTTTCTCGCTGCGATATGACTTTTCCAAAAAAATAAAAATTTGTAATAATCATCATACCTAGTTTATCAGCATAGTAATTTTAATCAGCTTATTAGTAGATTATTTGATAAGCTGCAACTGCTCTACACATACCCTAAGTTATTAAAAATTTAACATAACTTTAAATTAATATTATTTTGCTTAATGATTAAATTTCATATACTTGAACATTTTGACTGATTAAATTGATTATTTTTAATTAATTTAAATCATCTAATTATCTTTTAAATTTATTAGATTAATAAAATCATATAATGATTTATTAGTTTGTCAAACTAAATGAGATCTAGTTAAAAAGAAATGTCATTTTAAGTGATTTTGATCAAATAATTCCTATGATTATTTAAAAAAAACAAAATTTCAATTTCTAATTAAAAGAATTTAAAAATTATTAATATTTACATGAAAATTGGTATAATAATAATAATAAAATGTACTAGAAAATGTTATTGAAAATTTCATCAGTATTAATATTCATATGTATATTTAACAAATCATATTTTTAATATTTGATAAAAATATATTTGTTATCAGAAATGATATATAATTCAGAATTTTTTATGAAAAAAAAAATCACCTGAATTTTACTAATCTTAAATTATATTAAAATTTTTATTTTTTATATATTTATTTCTTAGAAATTAATAATTAAATTAATTAAAAAAATAAGAACTTCATAATAAAAACTTATCATCATCTGCTGTGAAAAAAACACATTTTTTCCTCTCTCTCTCTCTCACACATTTATTATTATTATTTTTTAATGCATGCCGCATATTATATGGGCCAGACCTAACCATAGGACTCAAGGGCCCAATACTCCAAGAACTCAGCCCCTCAGTTATTAAAAGTTTTTTCGTATAAATATTCAGTGTATCATGGGAGAAGGATTTGAAGAAAAAGGAAGAGGTCATGAGGAAGAAATTCATCAGTCAAAGTGCACAAGAGATGTATAATGATTTCTTAACATTTAGTAGTGAAGTAATAGCGAAAAAGATCAACAAAATTGAGACTTGCGTGGCTTTACTCGAGACAAATGTAAATGAAGTTAATGCACATCTAGAACATATTCGATGACAATTAAAAATCTAATTTAGCCATACTAGTTATATAGAGGAAGCGAATAAGACGATGTATATTAAGCAGAAATGGATTGAAGAAGACTGTATCAGAGCTAGTCACCACCGTCCGTTTTATTAACTCTATATTCCGAATGCCCAAGGATAGACTAATGAAAAACAAGAATTTGTTCCAACAAATGAATGGAATTAAGTTCAGTGTTAAAGTTTGTTTGTTAGGAGTCGTTATTTTTATGTATTAGTGTTAAATCTTGTTTTAATTTATGTATTAGTGTTAAATCTTGTTTTTATTGTTTATGTCTTTTATGTGTTTAATTAAGAATGTTTGTTTAGTGTTTGTATTTAGGAAAATTTTCTTATTTGAGACTCTTTGGAACGAGATTATGTGTTGAATGTTGCTCGTAATAGTTCATAAATGAATATATGTGTTTATTTGTGTGAAAATTTGTGGTATTTTAGCCTCGAATCAAATTAGTTATATTGGAGGATTTTGAGAGAGAGGAGAGTTAGAGGAGAGAAAAATAGTCATTTAAGTGTTGTAAGATCATTTAGGGGTGGTATACTTAGGCTAATAGTGCATTTTACTTAAGTTCAAAAATATCAAAAATCGTGCACTTGCGTCTAAGCGCCACATTCTCGCGCTTAAACGCGATGTAACCCGAGAGGCAGACGCCAAAGTGCCACTTATCCGCGCTTAAACGACGGTTCATGAAAACCGATTCACGAACGGTTAAAGGTGAAAAATAACAAAAAAAATCGCCTTTTTGACTCTTATCGTCGTCTTCTTCCTCTTGAGTTTGCGATTTTGAAGTTAGGGAAAACGTTTTCGTGGAGATTTCTTGATGGATTTGAGCCAAATTTGCTAGTTTTGGATTTCTTAAGGTAAGAGCTTCACTTCTATGTAGAAATTTTGGATTTTCACCATGTATTTTGAGTACATTTGGAAAAAATAAAAAATCACTATTCATGGTGAAAAGTGAAGAAAAATCTATAGAAATTGCATTGAAAACGTAGTTTGTGCTTATATGAGTTAAGTTTAGTAGATTAGACTTGATTTTTGAAGTTATTTTGGGATTTTGTGAAATTTGTAGAAAATTTGTAGAATGACCCCAAAGGAATTTTGTGAAATTTATAGAATGGCCCCAAGAATGAAGAGGAGTAAGGGAAAGACCCACTTTGATTCGAGCAAGTTTTCGAGTTCAAAAGCTCGGGATAGATATAGTGACGCTCTACAGTCATGAAAATTGATTCCTAAGAGGTGTTTTAAAAATCCAGGTGGATCCGTGGAAGATTTGATGGTTCGCCGACAATGGGAACGATTCTATTGCTTTTCTGCTATGGCCGTGATATCTATAGTACGGGAGTTTTATGCAAACCTTCATGAGGCGGAAGAGGATTGAGTTATGGTCAGAGGCAAATTGGTACATTTTTCACCGGAGGTAATCAATATGTTCTACCATTTACCGCCATATACTTTATGTTTTTATGCAAACTATAGTCCGATTGAGACAAAACTGAACGAGAATATTACATATTTGACTGTTGGAAGGGGACTCTGGAAAATTACAAATGAGAGGAGAGTCAACTTTTCCACTTCAAAGTTAAGCGCACCATCGAAGGCGTGACACTACTTTATTTCAGCTCGTCTGTTACCGACGAATCATCTTAGTGAAGTTACGAGGGAGAGAGCAACATTGAATTATTGTACTCGTTGAATTATTGTATTCAGGAAGGCAAGCTTATCAATATTGGAGCTTTGATTAATCAGACTATCATCAGTTCTGCCACTGCCGCTACTACTGCAGGTATGGGATTTGCTTCCTTGATCTTTTCTTTATGTGAGCAGGCTGGTGTGAGATATGATAGCTGGGAAGAAGTGTTGCTGCCTCTAAAGCCAATTACAAGTGTAAATGTGAAATCATATTCTGAGCACTCTATTTTTGATTGGAGAGGAGAATTTTCGAGAAGTTATGGAATGTCGATGTCTGCTGCATCCACTTCTGCATCGAGACCATCTACCTCATGAGCATCTATTTCTAGAGGTGAGTCTACTGAAACTCAGGATCATCAATTATTGTAGAGGATGATTGTAGAGGATGATTGATAATATTAATTATACCGCAGAT